GATGAAAAATTATATATATATATTTATATATATATATATATATATATATATATATATATATATATATATATATATATATATTCGCGTGTTTTATGTGAATCTCTTGTCATAGATGCATATCAAATTTTACTTAGGAATATTAAATTTTCTTTTTATTTTTTTTTATTCCGTACGTATTGAAAGACATGGACTGTGTTAAATATTAAATTTTTAGCATCGTACACGATACGATATTATTCGATAAGACTGTGCTCTTCGTTGCAGTATAAAATTCACCGACAACGAAACGCGGCTCTCCGTTCGGTAATTTTAATATTACACGGCGTATTGAATTTTCGCCTTGAGAATTCGCGAAGTTCCGAAAGCCACAAGACAATGACAATAAATTAAAAATCCCAACTCCTCCGAAAGACGCGTAATCCGCAGTTAAGTAGTAAAACTTAAGTCTAAAAACCTCCGTCGAGTCTAAGCTGCATCCAGCTACGCCCACTGCTGAAAATTTCAGTCCCGAAGGGGCGGACGAACGAATTAAAACTTTCTCCTAAATCCATCAACCGAAAAATGTCATGTACTTCCGCCGCGGAAACGTTGCAGCGAGAAAGCTAAAAGAAAAGGAAAAGAAAAAGAAAAGAATGAAAAAGAAGAAGAAGAAGAAGAAGAAGAAGAAGAAGAAGAAGAAGAAGGACGATGGAAAGAAGCTTCGAAGGCGTATTAAGGCCCGATGCCAGGGCTAATTCAGTCTCATCCCCTCCGTTGGAGCTTGTCGTCCCTCATAAGTCGGTATTCAGCTGGAAAGTTCTCGCCCTGTGTGTCTCGGGGTGGAATTTCGCCTCGCGCGAGAGGAACTTTCCCCACTCAGAAACGCGGCTGTGCAGCTTGCCCGGCAGCGACGAAACAAAACTGACAGCGTTCCTCTGACGAAGTTACCGGTCGACACCCCTAACAAATTCTAATCTAATCGGGAGGGGGCGAGAGTGGAACGTTCCTCTATCCCCCTCTCCCCCCCCCCGCCCTTCTCACTCCCTTCTCTCTCGACGGACCCGACTTCGGCCAGGCGAACCTTGGAAACCCTTGGCGACGCGCAACTTTAATATTAGCACTCTGCAAGTCAAACTCCCCGCTGTGCTCTATACCCACCCCCTCCCACCCTCCGAACCCGAGCAAGATTCGAAGTTCTTTCCACTCGTTTCGATCCTTCGTTCTCCATCCCCTCGTTTTCTCGATCCTTTGAGAGGATCGCAGACGAGAGAGCCTCCGTGGAAATCCCCCCCCCCCCCTCTTCCGCCCCTCCTCTCCCCGATGATTTGTTTGACGAATCTCAGACGAATTCGGACCGAACTTTGTTTTTACCAAAGATTTTTTTGTTTCTAGAGAGTGTTCTCCTTTTTTTCTCTCTCTCTCTCTCTCTCTCTTCTCGGTTTCTTGCCTTCCGTGCAGGCAAAAATATAGAAATTAAACTTGTCCTCTTTATTCTTTCTCTTTTTTTTTTTTTTTTTTTTTTTTTGGTTCTTCTCGGAGGAGATGAGTCAATGATTCAGACTCAGTTTTTGGGAGGAATTGAGAGAATATTATTTCTTTACTCGGTCTTCTCTTTATTTTGTTTTTCTTCTTTTTAAACAGTTGAAAGTTCCAAAATTTCAATTTCAATTTAGAAGGTTAATTAAATTATAATTAAAATATAATTCAGAAGATGAACGATATCTTTGAAAGGACATCAATGATTTATTCGACCAATTTAGATCGATCAATCTCATTTCGCGGGAAAATATTATCTTTTTGTTCTTCCTTTTATATTTTCTTTCTAATTTCTTCTTTTTTAAGTTAGAAATGAGAGTTCAAAAATGGAATTACAATTAAAATGTAATTTAGAAGATTATCTAAATGTAATTTGGAAAATTATCTAAATGTAATTTAGAAGATTAATTAAATTATAATTAAAATGTAATTTAGAAGGTTAACTAAATTATAATTAAAATATAATTCAGAAGATTAACGATATCTTTGAAAGGACATCAATGATTTATTCGACCAATTTAGATCGATTAATCTCATTTCTCGAGAAAATATTATCTTTTTGTTCGTTCTTCCCTTTACTTTTCCTTTCTAATTTCTTCTTCTTTAGGTTAGAAATGAGAGTTCAAAAATCAAATTACAATTAAAATATAATTTAGAAGATTATCTAAATGTAATTTAGAAAGTTAACTAAATTATAATTAAAATATAATTCA